CCTCCAATTCTCATCTCCAGCCCGCCACAGCAGGGAGGGGGAAATGGAGTGAGTGGCAGCATGGTTTGGAGAGGCTCAGTGGAAGCACTAAATTAGGAAGTGCCATTCCTAAACAAAGGTACAAATTTGTCCTGTAAAATATTTGTAAATTAAAACAGCCTCAGGACTTCTGAATGTAACCCCAGCTGAGTTCTGGAGATGTCACAGAGTACTGGTTTTGTTACAGTTACATAATTCTTTTCTCACACAAGTTAATTGTAAATCAAAATAACTTGACAGAGAGGGCAGAATCTATTATACAAAACTGAAGAAGCAAAGTGTATGTATATTTGAAAAGCAGAAAAATACCTGTGATTTCTGTATGGCCTATTTACTTCTGGTATACAAGAAAACATGACTTTCATATTTCTCCGGTACTGGAAGTATGTGTTTTACATGAAGGAATAGAGCAGGTACCTATTTTCTGATGACAAATGAAGCATGCTGGATATATGCTCCACTTCCCCAGAAGCTGTATACCTGAGGACAATAATGCATTGTCAAGGCTTCAAGAATGCAGAAGACATTGAGGAAATAACTTACATAAATGACTCTGTTTTGCTGTGCAGCAGTGGATATAGTTGATATCACTGGGTGTGCTTATGGTCATCCTCAGAAAACAAAAACATTTCTTTGTGATACTGTAATTATTGATCTTAAATGAGAGCATAAGCTCTTTCACATTGCCTGAGAAAGTGGTGGTTTTGCTTTGTCTGAAGTGCTTGGTTTATAAATGACACTTGGTCACTGAAAGTAGTTTTGCCATCTCTGTCTGTCTGCTCTCTCATGATTGTTTATTTTTAGACAATCTGTGTTCTGTAACTAAATACTTTCAACATCTTCACAAGTAATCTTGACAAGCAGAACCAGCGTTGTTGAAGTGATTTCAGATGATTAAATGTTAAATGATGTTTTCTTCCAACCTAGTTTAAGCCAGCAAAAATGTCAACAAAATAAGTGAACCAATATACTGTCTGCTGGTTAAGCATCAGGAGAAGAAAAGAAAAATTAAATGCAACATATGCTAATTTCTTAGATGCTGAACTTTGGAGTCAATGACAGAGACTTTTGTATCATGGTTTGTGATGACTGTGTTTAATCAAAACAAAAGGTTGAACTTTTTAAAGGAAATCTTTTTCTAATAGTGAAAAATTTTCTTTCCATTTCATATTTTCAGCAGTCACATTCAAACTATATGGGGTAATATGACATCAACTGATGGGTAATGTTGAACATACCCATTTGGCTTATCTGTAGTCTGGAAAAAAAATGAAGGGAAACTAATTTTTTTTCATGGTGATGCTTCATTTTAATCTCATCTAACACAGCATTGTTTTGAAAGTGCTGTTGGGTCTGAGTGGAGTTGATGCTACAACCTGTCTGGGTTCAGAGATAGAAGGATAATGGGGGGAAAATGAAGAGATTGTCAGAAGAGGAGAAAGCCTGTTTGAGGAATGGCCCATGGAGTGTATTGATGTACCTGGGCAGCACGTTGTTGAGTTCTTCTGGGAGGCAAAGTCTGCTTGGGTTAGCAGAAAGAAGGACAACATGCACTGATGGCAAATCTATCAAAGACCCTAGAATATGTCTTACTGAGGGTGGTTCCTGGTTTTAGGTGGAAATGGTCACTGTTTATGAAAGAACTCCCACATTTTTAGGGCACAAATAATCTTGACAAATTTAGTAAGAATGAAAGTACTTTTAGACTGCTACATTACCATAAATTGATGACTTGGTGAATAAAAGTCCTAATAGTGAAACCTGAACAAATAAGGAGGTAATTAAATTAATTCCTACAATGATACCTCCCCTGCATCTCCCATTTTGTCAATGGCTGGCATTTTATATGCTTTTGGGTTTCACTAATCTGTATTGTAAAGGCAAGTGGAGTTATATTTGCCATATATTTCATGTATTGAAGCACTTGAATATTAGTTGGGAAAAGTGAGAGAGAGACAAGGAGCATGTGCTCACCAGCCAAGGTAGAATAGATGATGATGGGTGGCACAGGTACATGTGAACCTTAAACACAAATTGGAGTCAGAGGGAATTGTCCCTGTAGCTGAGGTCTTTCTGGTTTCTCACTCAGTGCCTCCCACCAGGAATGTTTATTTTCCTGGTGCCTACATCAGTGCAAGAAACAGCATTTCAACAAACTGCCATTGTTCTCCCTTATGACTCTTATCACTTGAAAGAGCACACAACATACAAGGTTGGCACCTTCAGCATGTTTAAAATGTAGAGACCTGGCTTATTGCAATATATATTTAGAAACTAATGCAGTGACAAACAAAATTGTGTGGAGCTCAGCATATATACTAAACCATATGTATTGCCAGTAAGCACTGCTTAAAGGACAAGAAAACATTTTCCAATTGCCACGTTTTAACAATTCCTTTTCCATGAATCTGTAACATGGGCACTTTTGAAACTTAACTGATGGATATACAATCCTTTTTATACTGTCAGAAATTCTTTTATTCAACTATTCCTATTCTTTTCTTTAGGAAGGTGAAAAAAAAGGATTTATGAATAGACTTTATGCCATCCAGGAGGTGTGTGTCACTGTTCAGAATATCCTTGATGAAATTGCTTCATTTGGTGAAAGGATCAAGAAGTAAGTGCTGACACAGGTGCTGGATTGCTCTCTAATGTTGTTCATACTTTTTCCATGCAGAGATACAAAATATTAGACCTTTATTTATTTATTTCAGGGGACTCCAGTTTTGGATGATCCATCGTTCAAACTCATCTATATTTACTTTGCTTGCGGAGGCCATCAGTCAATGAAAATCCTGTCATATTAATTCTGAAATTTAGAATTATATTAATTGGGAAAAAAATCAGAACTAAGGTTTTTAAGTAAACCAGAAAGAGAATCTTGTTGAGAGGTCTAACAGTAGTTATTTTAAAATAATAATAAAAAAATGCAGCTTTGATAAAGGAAATAAGCAGAGCTGAATAGTATTTTAACAACGTGCATAACTTCCACTTGCTGGAAGTTGTATTTATGTACCTTAGCAAAACCTTTCCTTCTAGAGTATTTGTAATTTGTAATACTTAATACATGATATATAAGAATTGCCAACAAATCTAGGCATTAAGAAAGAGAAGATCTGATATTTACTGAAGGAAATGCGTTGTATTTCTGACATGGTCAGTGAACAGCAGCACAGGGTTTAGTATTTGAGATGAGACTGGTTCCAGAAAGATGCCTTCCAGCTGTCAGCTGCAAAGCAGGGACAGGACTGACTTGGTTTTCCATGCCTCCAAAGCCAGGCACATCACACCACCACCTGATTCACTTTTGGATGTGAATTTTAGGAAACTGGTGCCTTGGATGGAGGTCAGTCTGCAGGAATCCTGAGGATCATCTCTCTTCTGTTCTATTCTGTCTTGATGAAGAGGAGGTTGCCATTTTTGTGTTTAAGAGGAAATACCCTAATAGGAAAGCCTGGGAAACATTTCCGTGGGGACACTTACAGGCAGGCTGTGTTCACAGCAGCAGAGGCAGGTGCAAGCATATTGTATCACACAAGTTTTCCAGTCAAAAAAATGAACCTGTCTCTGAAAAAAGTCTTTTATCAAAAGGCTATTTGTGGAAGTTGTCTTGATGACTTAGTTTTTTTAATTGTGCATTTTGGAAGTAGGGTTTGTTCTATTATGTACCAGATGAGACCAACAGAGTTTTCTAAACTGAGTGAGACTATAAATCTTTGCTCCTAATTTGCTTCTAAAACTATAATGGGAAACCTGTACTGAATGCTGTGCTAACATAGCACATAAGGAGGTTTGCTAAGTGAGGAGCCAGTGCTCCCACACATGGTGTGTCTGTGATCCATTGCATACAGCCGAGTCACAGGAACATGAGCAGACCTTCTGTTCATCCCAAACGCATACAGAAGAGGGGAAAAGAGCAGGTGTCCCTTGAGGATAAAAGGAGGAATCCGACACTAAGTGACACTAACATAATGTTCATTCTGGAGACATGTCAAAATTGCCAGCGAGAAAATAAGACAAATAAACACAGGAAGCCAGACCTCATTATGAAAAATATGGCTAGCAATTCAAATAATTATTCTGCTAGAGAAGCCAAAATAATGTAATCACATTGATCGGGGATGTAGTTAGTAGGAATACTTTAAAGAGTATCATGAGGCTATTTAGAGCCAAAGCCACATTTTCCTTCTGGATGAATGTCATGCAACACTTTTGATATGGTGGTGCCTTCGTGGAACAAACCCACTGAGCCAAGCTCCCTTTAACCAGTGTTTTTATGGGATATACATGTAAATTTATCATCTAGCTTTTCTCTTCTCTGCACATGGAGGTTGGAGAGCCACAGCACACTGTTTCAAGACTCATTAACTTTCTCTTCCTCACACCTCAACCTCTGCAAAATTAGGTGACCAGCAGTGTTTTGTCACAGAGTTTGGGATCCTTAGTAAGTATGTTGTAATCTGTGACTTTTGGAAAAGGTAATGAACGTCCTGAAACTCTGATGGGATCCCAGATTTTTTTTTCCTTTATCCATAGATAAATAACATTTACTTATTTAATTTTATTTTATATTTTATTTTATTTGGTAGATAAGCTTTCCTTTGCTTTTTCTGCAATGTACTTTACCTCTTTACCTTATGCCACTCCCTCCTTTTTTCCTCCTTGTGTCCTTTTTTTTTTTGTTTGTTTGTTTGCCACCCAATGGAATTTTATTTCCTTCCTTCATCTAGTGTTGCCTTCAGGACTGACTGTTCTACCCCCTTCTTTTTTTTTTTTCTTAACCTTCTCCTCCTTAAGCTCATTGGATGAGTTTCCAGCTTTCCATACCCATACACTTACCTTTTCCTTTTCCCCCAAAACGGAAGGGCACCTGATTGAGGAGTGCATCTATACCTCAGACAGAGGGAAATGTCCCTGCTCAGCCTTTAACTGCTTGTGCTGCCCTTACAGTGGAACAGTGAGGTGATAAAACAGAAAGCCCTAGCAATACTTTTCCAGTTATTGTATCCTACTTCTACCCTAGTATTGAAGAAAGCAATCTGAGTTGCCTGTGGGAATACATTTAGGGAATAAGGAGTTCTGTGTGTCTTGCCTGATGCTAAGACTGGGGACAAGCACTGAGATTTCCAAAGAGCAGAGCAGTAGTTCTCTTGGCAGATGTGTGCTGTTGGGCAGGGAGAGGTGCCATTCAGCAGGCGAGTGGGTGAAGCCAGGACCTCCTTTCATTTCCACTAACAGTGGATCCAAGCCCAGGCTCTCCCTGATGTCCAACATCCATGCATTCATTTGTAGACTCAGTTTGTTCACCCTGATGGAAAGTGGCACTTCTCCCACTCTCCTGCCCGTTATTTGTTCTTTTATTGGGTCTGTTGGCTGACCTCAGTCCTGACTTCTGTTAATTTTTCTTTTAGTACATTCAACTGGACTGTCCCATTCCTTAGCTGGCTGGCGATTGTTGCCCTCTCTGTGTTCACTGTCATCCTGTATTTCATTCCACTGAGATACATTGTTCTTGTCTGGGGTAAGTAAAGCCTTTTTAAACTGTCTATACCACTTAAAACCCTGTGCTTTGTAAGGGATGACTTACATTGTCAGTACTTTTTGGTATTTATGGTCATGAAGCTGCCTCATGATGGAAACAAGCAGGTTAGTTAAAAATCGCAACTCTGTAAAGATGTAAGCCCATCTGCAAAATGCATTTTTCTTGGCTGGCATTGCAGACTTAATCATACTATGAACATGTAGCCATGAGGATTCTTCATATATCAAAATGTAGCTTTGTCTAGGTATTACTCTGATTTATTTTCACTACTTGTACACAAACAGGGGCATTTCAATCTATATAGTGCATTTAGGACAATATGCCTTTTTTACTGCAGTACTTTATCTTGTGAAAGTGTATGTAAACATAGCAACAACAAACCTGTTTAAGGGGTCACCTTTGGTTGGACAAAAAGGAATGGGTGGTATTTGGCTGGTTGATAAGGAACAGAAAGTAAGAGTGGGTAGGGGGGTGGAATTATGATTGATCCAGACTCTCACTACAATATCAATTGTCCCTATATCAATTCTTTATACTGATTTTAAAAAGCTGCCGTTACCCCATCTGTTGTAAATAATGCTCCCAGTTTTCATTTGTACATCTTTTCAATACATCCTATACCACTGGCAGCTGTACCCTTACTCAGTACCACAGATTTGTGAACAGCATAGTTAAATCTGTGGCTAGATTTTCTTTCTGAAGAAAGAATAACAATCTCACTTTTGTAAAAAACTTTTGAATTCAGGAGACAACATAAAATCATTCAGCTGACTCTAAAGAATTAATTTTTTATTGATCAGTCAGTATTAGTAAATTCTTAGTGTGTTTTCATAAATAATCATAGCAGAATATTTAAAATGGAGCAGAAGCAATTAAGGGGATATGTACAAAAGTATTTCTACAGAACTAACAGAAACAAGCATGTGGGCTTCCTTTCTTTTCCTGTCTTTGGAGTTTTACTTCTCCCTCACATAACCTATATCACAGGTGTAACCAAACTCTTAGTTTGTTCCCAAAATTTCATTCTTCCTAGCACATACACGTGAACTTTGAAGTAGTTGGTCTGTGTCCTTTTTCAGACAGTTCTGACATCTTGCTTTCTTACATCCCCTTTGTTTGATGCAAGAACATTTGATTATAATACTCCTCCAAGACCCACAAAACTACAGAGTGAGAACTGTTCTTTGAAAAGCTCATGACTGATATCCCAGGAAGGGTCACACACCCACAGAAATGTCTGTTTCAGGTAAAGCAGAGCCTTAACTCCCAAGCCTCCCAAACCATGGATGGATAGCATAAACACAAATTATTATAAATGCACCTTGCATTCTTTCCATCTCTTGCCTCCTTGCCCCCAAGTTATATAGTGTACCTACATATGACTTCGAGGCCATTTGTTCACTAGTGGTTTCAATGCAGGTTTTTCTCCTGCATTTCAGTTTAGGTGCCTTCTTACTCAGTGCTTGTGTGGGGGTCCCTTCTTTAGGGATCTGTTTCTCTTGCGTCATGCCAGGAGACCAGACAAGTACTGCATAGCTACAGCTCCTGCAGTCCCGACCTTCTCAGGGTGAAATGCATTCACACAGAGCCATGTCGTGCTGAGCATAGCTCTGTGCATCTGTCCCTTCAAAAACTGCAGTATTCCAAACATGTGCCTGTTTCCTCCATCATGATGTGTTTTTAACCTCCCCCGTGTACATACATTCCTTCATCCCATTCATCCATCCTGCACTTGGAAGCCTTGGAAGCCTCTGTTTTCTGACATTTTTCCATAGGAATGTTTGAGCCAGTCTGTAGCAGTATTTGCCCATGTCATTCTTTGGGAAAGCAGAGGTTTTAAATGAAAATTCCTCCATGCTATGGCACATCCTTTCTATAGCTGTCTTTCTTCTTTGCATCCATAGGGACTACCTCTGTCAGCATGCCCTGGCAAGAGATTCTCTGTGCTTTCCCTCTAGCCGTCTCTCTGTCCAGGAGACTACTGGCCCTTGAAGATGTGGTTTGTTAGGTGGGGTGGAATGGGAATCACCTCTCCATCCTAATCCCATTCGGTGATGTGCAGAGTCCTGTCAACAGCTACAGCTGTTTATGTGGAAAAAGTATGAAGATAATTATTTTATTCTGAAAATTTTCAAGCTTTTGGAAAAGATCAGTCCCCTTGTTGTATTCTGTGCAGTGCTTTTCCTTTCTCAAGCCTTGACCATGATTTATTCATGCATTTGCTTTCATGGGATGACTGGTATTTTTCTTTATCAGATGTGACAAAGTGAAACCATATCAGCTCCTGAATTCACCTATAGGTGGTCCAGTGGCCACATGTAATGAACAGTAGTGTTGACCTTGAATTTCTCAGTCACTTGCTATGCAAAGCATCTTCTTAAAGGTGTTGACCCTCAGATATTCCTTTTGAACACTCACTGTTCAATCACCAGATAAAGGAATGGCAGCATCTCCTATCTACATCACAGAACTGAGAATTCATGCAGTGGAAAGCTGTGGGTTTTATCAAGCTTATGAAGCTTACATCCCCCATCCCAAGGCCATAAGTCCTTGCTAAAGCTTTCTGAAAGGTCTGGGTGCCAGAGACTATATTATCTTATATCTGATACAGCCTGGATAAATTACACAGGAAGGTACATTTTTAATGCTGTCCTGGCTATCTCCTGCGCCTGAAAGTCTATGTAGTTTGTACTGTTCCTGCTCCTGTTTTAGACGTGTGTTCCCAGAGCCCACATACTGACTTGGTATGTTATGATAAGAAAAGTCTAATTTAAAAGCCTTCTTTCTGCTTAGTTTGTGGAGGATTTTTCTTGGTGCTTCTTAACACAAATTGTCAATAGGCATTATAAGACCATGATATCTAATAGAGACATCTGTCTTCTCTTCTCTGCACTGCCTTCAGCTCATCTGTATCTGTCATTCCCAGACAGAGGTTTGTGCAAACTCCTCTGAAACCTTCACATGATGCAGACTTCACTGCTTTCCATATGCTTCATTGTCTTTACCATGAAGAATATTTTCCTTGAATCTCCAGAATCTTTCATGAATATTCTATCCTGCAATTAAGCCCATTTCTGCTCATCCTCTCCAGTACAGAAATGAAGTACTCTTTATTCCTCTCTTTTTTTCAACCTCCTCATAATAATCACAGTTTCTGTTACTTTCCAAAAAAATGTATTGAAGGAATTTGAAAATGCCCCTCAAACTTTTGCATTTTGAAACAGAGGGAACCACAGCAGCAGATTTCAACATTTGGAGCCTGCGTTTGCAGTTCATTCATTCATTCGTTCGTTCATTCATTCATTCAGTGTTAATGTCAGACTTCAAAACGGGTCTAAAATCTTTTATAAAACTGCCAAAAATACTTGGATTTTTTAAAATGATCATAGTAACATTTGAACTTTCACTTTTGCAGGCATCAATAAATTTACAAAGAAGATTCGAAATCCATATGCAGTTGATAACAACGAGCTACTCGACTTTCTATCCAGAGTTCCTTCAGATGTTCAAGTGGTGTGTATATATTTTTTAAGAGTCCTTTCTGGTTTTGTTTTTTTTAAATGAATTTTTAAAGCAATTATTTTGATTCAACATTATACTCTCTGCCACAAAGAAATTGCAAACTCAAGCTGGGGATAGTCCATGAACCATTAGGAGGTTGCTAGACCTTTTTCCAGGAAGAAAGTAGGTACTACCTTGGTTGTGCCTCTGAGGATCCTTAGAACAGTAATTATTTGTTAGATGGTAGCAGATGCTAGAGCTTGTATTAAACAGCCTCCAGCATCATGTGAATCTGACTGGGATAAGACACTACGTAGGAAACACTGGAGCTGAAGCTGTCAGGACATGCAGAGAAGGAATAGGAAGGTCAAATGATGGAAGAGGCAGCACCAGGCAGTGTTGCCCAGTGTCTTGTGACAGCACTCTGAGAGCACTTTAGCCTTTCCTTTTCTGGGGTGAAAGCTTTTGCTGTGGCCACAGTTCAGTTGTGCCCATAAACTCCTTAAAAAAAAAGCTGGTTGTGAATTACAAGCTTTTGTGATGCAATACACAATCTCCTGAGAGGATGCAAGCTTTAAGATAACATCAGGCACATAAATCATCTCTGGTATCACAAAGATTATAGACTTCACATATTTCTAGTTTCAGTTCAGAGCTGGTATAAGTAGGAGGTATGGGTACACATACCTTCTCTGAATCTGATACCTTTGTGGCAAGCATTTGGAAATAAGCAAGTTTTTCAGATATATTACAAAGAATATTCATCCAGTTCACCCAAGAGGATACTGTTTATTGTCTGTAAGAGCTCATGCAGAAAACAAAAATAGAGTAACCTTTTCAAAGCTTACGTCAGTGCACAGTATTATTTCCTGGCAGGATTTTCCTAATGTTGATTTCCTTCTTACTCTAGATTTGCAGTTGTGTTGTTGTTGAATCACATGTACAAATCCTGTATAGTTTTTAGGGAGAAAGTTTTCTTTATCTTTTTTAACCCTGGGGGAAAAGAAAAGGTGTCTTCCCTTTTTTCTAGGAAGCACCACCTGAACTCTTTCTTTCTGAACTTTGTGTTTAAACAGATGCAATACCATGAACTGAAACAAGATCCCAGTCACAGCCCCAGCAAGAGGAAGAAAAACAACCCTGCCTAGCCAACTTCATGTGTTGAGGAGACTAGCATCTGCCAGGGGAGAATAAAAGAGCAAGCCTAGGCAGCGTTTCCTTTCCCTAAGCGTTTTATTTATTTTGCCTTTTTATCTAGTGAGGAGATTTTGTAAATAGTGTAAAAAGGTGTTTCTCATTGAAGATATCTTTCTCACTGTAAAGACATTTGTTTTAAGTAGGGTTTTTGCCATTCAAAAGCCTCGTTAGAAACAGCATAATGCATTAAAGGAGTCAATCTAAAGTGGTAAATATGCACTGCTACTTGGTAGTCAAAGATACATGAAATACTCAAATCATGCTGACTAAACCCACAAAAGGTGTGAATTTAAATCTTACTCAAAAATTTGTCATCCAGTAAGTCACCATTACAATGGTGACATTACTATGTTTTATACATTTAATGAGAAATACAATGCTGTGGAGCCTACTGCACTTAAGTTTTGGCAGATTTTTTAGTTCTCAGACCTTGATGTTAACTTCTGGTGCAACATTTTCCTGTGCAGGTGGGCTGCTTATAAGATAATGAGAAACACCAAGTGCAAATCTCTTTCTGGAGCTCCCAAAAGCAGTTCCTGATGTCTTTATCATTCCATTGTAAGATTTAAAAATCTCCATCTCTCTCAAAATACTGCCAGGTTTGTAACTGATTGCCTGTCTGATTTTTCTGTATGTACCAGTAATCTTCATTTGTACTACATAGTTTAGTGAATAAAGTCCATAGTTTTGCTGTAATTTAAATAGTATAAAACTAACTCCACATATTGCTTTTGGTGTCATGCTATGAAAACTTTTTGTGCACATAACTATTTTAATATGGAAATGTTGCAGAAATTCTTTTTTTCAAATCACAAGATCATATTCATATGCTTTACCAAGCTGAAATATAGCGTAGAGGAAAAAAATGCAGTTGTGGTAAAACTGTTTTATTCTCTTAGCTACTAATGTCAGTTCTTCTGATACAGTCTTTATCTACTGCATGGAAACTGCATTATCTTATAAATTACATGGAACATAGATGAGAAACGTTTACATTTCAAATGTTTTAGTGGCCACTGCATAATGAGTACTTGGGGATATATTCTGGTAGCTGCATGCAGACTACGTAGTGAGCAGAGACTCATTCCTGAGGGACTACCTGTACACAGCTCCTCATCGTAGCTCCTGGTGACATTAAAGGGGATTTTTGCCCAGGGGAGAGCGGCAGGACTGCATCCTCGAGGAGAGCTGTGGTCCTCTCTGGATTACCTCTCATTGGTTGCAATTGCAGATAAAGTTATATTGCACTACTCTAACAATACTTTTTGAAAAGACTATTTAGAAATACTTTGCAAGCACATGTTTATATATATTTGTCTAAAGAATTATATGTTAGCTGCATTGCTCATGAAAGACCGTCCTGGATTTGTTTATTTTGCAGATAAGATGATAGCCAAGTTCTGATGTGAGAGTAATTTTGTTCTTTCTGTTTGTATATTTGAAAGAATGCCAGTCAAATGACTATTCTGCAGAAAGTCTTGTCCTTGTTACATCATGACTTTAAAAGAGTTCTGGCTGTGTGATGCCTGAAGACCAACATACTATTGATTAAATGAGAATCACTGATTAGCTTATTTTGTTTTAAAAAAGCCAAATTTTTGACTCAGCAATTATGTGAATGTTTGTTGCCTGTTGTCAGTTTCATGCAGTTCTTTAATACACTGCAAGCCTTGTGTCTTCTTAATGTTGCCCACCTGTCTGCGTGTGATTTCCTGTTGTGGTTTTTTTTTCTGTACCCAATTTCAAATGTCTACTTCGATGGTAATGTACGGGTTAGCTATGCACATTTCCTGCATTAAACACACCTTTAACGTCACTCTTTTCTATTACGAAGCCTCTGTCTTTGAAATCCTATGCTATCATTTTTCCCTGAGTGGTGTGACATGGAAGTGTCAAGGAAAGCATCATATTTCTGTGTGCAGCATTTCAGTATTTTAAGCTCCATAATGTGCAGGTGGAGGGGGCAGGGAGAGAAAGACATCTGTTTGTTTAAGATTGGTCAATTCCTCTTAAATGCCTCAGTCACTCAAAATTGATCTCACTGAAAATATAACGCACAGAGGCAAGGCTAAGAATGCATGTGTATTAAATACAATTCTCCTGCCACAGCAAGACAATTTAAAATCACAATTTAAAATAGTTTGTGAGTGAACACATTTTCACTATTTGTAGTTTCTCTACTCTGCTTTTTGTGGGTGGCCTCTTTAATGAACCAGTCCCACTTTATGCCATAAATATTTTAACATACCTTCCTTTTCCAGATTGGTTCTGAAGTCCATTTCTAACCTGTTAGATTTACCAGGCTTTATTCTGAAAGCAACTTGTCTGTTCTAAACAGTCATGAAATAATAAGGCATCGCACAATCATGAAACTCTTTCAGAAAATAAAATTTAATGACTTTATTTGGGTCCGTGGAAAATTATTAGCTTAATTGGGGTCCACACTTATAGTAGGTGTCAGAGCATTCAGGATCCACCAAGGCTGATTGTCTGAGAGGCTTTAGTTACAGTTCTGATGGTAATTCATAGTACAGAGGTTACTTACCCTGTTTTTACAGTTGTTTCTCGTTGTAGTGAGGAATGCCTAATAGCAATGAGCTTTAACTGGGAGAGCTGTGTACTGTGACTTAGTATTTTAAATCCAAGTGCAATAAACCCCAAGATGTTTTTCTATTGCAATTAAACCAGCGGTGGAATAATGAAAAGGCGATTAAGCAACCTGCATACAGTCTATCAGCTAATGTGGTCCCTGAGAGCATAAGCTCTTCTGACAAGAGGAAGAGCTGCTGGCCCCTCCTGCCTTTTCTCCACCTTGGCCTGCATTCTCTAGGTGACCAAACTTGTATTCTCCATTTCCTGGTCACCACTATACTATCAATTAAACCTTTACTAGAAACTGTTTGCTTTGTCATCCTCTCCTGCTTTTTCTCCTACTTTTATTCTTTGACTAATTCACCTTCTTACAGATGTAACTCCCTTGACAGTTTGATCACAAACCTTCAGCTGCTGGTTTTGTGGCAGCACTTTAGTTTCCCTCATGTACCTCCCACCTCTGCAGTTTCAATGTTTGGTTTCTCACTGCTGCATTAAGGAGTCATCCATACCCGTCTTCCATCAGCTCTGCTTTTCTTGGACCTGCAGTGAGTCCCATCCAGACCAACCTCATCATGGTACTCCACGTTCAAACTTTGTTGGATTCTCACTCCCTGGTGGTGATATATTTTGAAGTTGTTCCCTGTGATAGAGCAGAAAAAAAAAGAAATTGCAATCTAATTTTAGCGGAAGGAAATATCTTCTGAAAGTTGTATAAGTGTTTCTGCAATATACATGGATCTTGCTGTTGGCTACTGGCTTTTGAAATATCTGAGCTTATAGTTTTGCTCTGCTCCAGTTGAAGGATTTGGACCTCTGTGTGATTTGCATCAAATCATAAAGGGCATTTGATCTGGGGGGAAACCAATTAACATAAAGGCATACCAAAACATAAAACCTGTAGTTTATTAAGTTTAAAATTGGCAAAAGTAACAAGCATGGGTTGGTTGGGACCCAGGAGGATTACTCTGATGAATTCTCCATCATACAAAATGATTGCACAGTGAAAACTGTGCAATTTACTGTTCTTTGTAAAATCCTATGCTTCATAATTAAATACAGCACTATGATTTTTGCAGTTTGGCTTTTTTCTCTACAGATTAATGTGTAGGCTGCACTTTGAGCAGACATTTTCACAACAAAGAGTGGCATTTGAAAAAGAAATTAATTTTTGAAGTAGTTGACAATTGACATCACTTGGTGAAGATGCCAAATGTCAGGAAGTTTAAAGCCAGGGTTTGTGTTTATCTTTCGATTTAAGTTGTGATAAAGTGAAAGGAGAGTCACAAACAGTTGCAGATGGAGAGAGTGTGCTGTCCTGGAGCCACCAACACTGTGCATTGCTGACAGTAACTGAGACAGTCATGCTTGTAACAGAGGAGACATGAAATGCACCTTCTGTGAAGAGCTTTAGAGAGCATCTGCCCAGCTGCCCTGTCTCAAGCGGTTGCATTAGTTCATCATTTTTGTGAGTGCTAATTTAATTGACCAGTGTACAATAGAAAAATGAATAATGGTGCAAGGGAAGGAGGGAGTTTCTTGGATTTTCTCCGTCTCAACCTGAATGTTAAAACCCTCTTTCTGGTCTTGGTACACAGTTGAGGAAATGTGACATCACTGCATCTAATTGAGAAATCCTGAGCTTCTAGAAACCCTAGTTCCCATACTGAGAGTTCAGTCCATTTGCACAGAGTATGCTTCCAGGGCTAATGCTAGACAGTAGCCATTCCCCTTAAATCATGCATGCATGCAACAGGACAAGTCCATGTATCTCAAATCCTCTAATCTCCTCAATGAGAAACATGTAAAATCTGATGTTATTTTCAAATAACGTGTTTTAAGTCTAATTTCTCACTCCCTACATTGGGAATGAAGTGCAGTTGACAACTTCTCTCTTAATTTCTGCCCTGTTCAGCCTGCTGCTAAAGGCAGAGGTTCAGCCACAGAATGGAGAACTACAGGCATCAGCTATGTGTGGACTCCATATAATAGGCTGCTATTATATGAGAAAATAAATTTTCAATCTTAATCCAGAACCAGAGGACACAAATCAGGTGGACAAGTAGTTTTGTAAGGCCTGTGATGCTAAAATGGAGAGACTTTGATGCGTGGGCTATTTGATGGATAAGGAATTGGCTGGACTGCTGCATCCAAAGTGTTGCAGTCAAGAAACAGCTCAGTGTTGAAATGGAGATCAGTAATAAGTGGTGTGATTTAAGGGTCTGTCCTGGAACCAATACTATTTAATATTGACATCAATGACATAGTAGGATCAAGTGTACTCTCAGTATAGCAAATGACACCAAGCTGAATCATGCAGTTGATTTGCTGTAGGGAAGGGATGTATGTGAGGTCTTCAAAAATGAAATGTCTTTTGAATGATGGAAGAAGAAGGCTTAAAAACTTGCATAGTTTATGTTCAGAGTAGAACTGAAAGCATCCTACCACCCAAACCCATACCTAAAGCATTACAAGGAATCAGGCAGATGTCATCAAGGCTTCCATACTTTGCACTCATCAAAGGTAACAGATGAGAAAGCCAATCTTGTGTTGTAGCTTTTCTAAAATGAAGACCGTGTTTCTATAAGGACTGATAGAATACCTTCAATTTCTCATAAACTGTAAAAGCGTTTTGGGGTCATCTTCCTACCTCAGGAAAAAGTTTTACTCTGCTAATAGAGGCAGTAACTGAGAGGGACGTTGCTAAAGCCTTGAACACTCCACAAGAGTTGACCTCTACCTGCAGGATGCAGAGGTCAGCTTCAGTAAGGCTGCTGGAGGGCAGGTGCAGACATGCAGAGTTGTGATGGTGACAACCACAACTCAGATGACATGAAGCTGACCCAGCTGCAGCTCCCTAATTTCGGTGTAGTGAGCATGGCACTTGCCCTAGATGGGAGCCTGTGGTTTCACTTTCTGCTTAGTCTGAGTGGACCCAAACCCATGACATATAGTTTTTAAGAGGATGCTGTGGTAGACGTGAGGCTATTCAGATGAAGGGAAAGGGATAGCTACTCTAATTAATTAGAGTATCGATCCTCTTGGAGCTGGAGCTCAGTGCAGAAGAGGATTCAGGACTGACGTACAAGATACAAAAGAGGCAGTGGGCAACAGAAAAAATTAGAAATAAAACTAGCAAAAATTTATGCAATTTTCAGGAAGGCATCATAGAAACAAGAGTGTACATGTGCTCCCCTGCAGGAGAAAAGAAAACAAATGCCTCCTTGCCCCTTTGAAGATACTCTGACCTGTAGAGGTTTCTGGGGAAGCGTACAGTTTTGAAAGATAAGCACCATCCTCATCCTGCTTTGTAGGGACCTATCTCCCCCTGAGTCACTAGACAGAAGCCTAGAGGGGACCGGAAAGTTTTTCCTTGGATCTGACACTTGCTAGCAACTCATGTTATTCGTCTGTTATTTACAAGCCTTTACTTCACAATAATGCACAGGGTAAAAAACCCAAAATTTGTTCTTAAATTTTTAAAAGGGAAATATTTGAAACAGAACGTACTTGCCTATTTGTAGTCTGTCATTCAAAGTAAGTGTTTTTGCTCTTTCCCTTCGGACAGACCATGATGGCCCCTTCTAGCAGACCCACCGAGTGTTGTTTCATTGATGGCTAGCAGTCGCTATAGGTAAATGAAATAATACCATATGAAAGCTTTGTGTCCTAAACCTGATACTGCTGTGGCACAACATGCATGTGAAAGGATTCTTTTGGATTTGTGGAGAAACAAAACAAAACCAAAAAACACCCTGCCCTGGTTTCAGCCAGGGCAGGGTTAATTTTTGCAGTAGCCAGGAGAGGGTGTTGCTAGGACACAGAGGTTATTCTATACCACCTCATGTCCCACCTCTGAAGGCAGGGGAAAGGGACTCTTCCAAGGAGCAGGGGTTCCTTGCCATCAAAAAAATGTGGTTGAGGGAGCTGTCTGGTATTGTCTATTTTCAGGATGAGTTCCATGTGAATAATTATTTTTGTACCCTCTGTGATTGCTAGTGTTGCTGCTACTGTACATTTTTTCTTATCTCCTTGCTGTTTCCAGTAAATTGTTCTTATCTCAGCCTGTAATCTTTGCCTTTTGTGCCTCCAATTCTGCGCTCCATCACACCACAGAGGGGAAAGGGAGGGGGAAAAGTGAGGGACTGAGAGAGTGGCATATGGTTTGGATAGTCTTGGTGGGGGCACTGAGCTGGGGAGTGCCATTCCTGAACCACGGCAGCCTTATTTGGAGCCCAGTGTGGCACATGAAGAGTTGAGATAACAACAGATCTGACCACAGCAGGTTGGAACAAATTCGATCTAAGCATTTGTTGTATTAGGTATGGACCCACTGATCACAATGTTGTTTGGTCTGTTCACATAGGTGTGGTACCTAACCCTGTATAGGTGCCTGTATTTGTTCCTCCCAGTGCTCTCTTTCAGAGCAGGCGGAGGGGTCAGGATTGCCTTGTTGCTCTGTGGTGGGATATCAATTTATGACATGACAACATAAAGGGCAATGAGGCCCATTTGAGATGTGCATTCAGTGTTGCTCTCCTACCCTTCCCTTGAGCATTACCTTTGAGAATAAATTAAGTCTGTAGGGGAAACAGGGAAGAATGATTTTCTCTAGCTCTTCACCTTCTTTTCTGCTTCAGGATTGTTAAAACAGCTTTCAAGAATTTTGAATTTCCCTTTGGATGTTAAGGAAAGCATATTCTTGTTGCTACGTCTGCCAGGTCTCTTCAGTGCTATCCACACCATGTTTAAGAGTTACAAAAGACATTTTAGGAAGGCCTTTCAGAGATTTGCCCTGACAGTGGATAGTCATGAGTGGCATGGAAGGGGGGAGGATATGGGCCAGTATTTGGAGGACTTCCCTCCTCCAGTAGTTTGGAAATTCACCCCTCAACAACTACAGGACACTGATAAAATGCTAAAATATGTGAAAGAAAAATGCTGTGGCGGCTCCAGAGAGATGCAAAGTTATACAGTGTTCTGGGCCCTGGCTGCTATTTATTGGACACTTCTTGATCCTAGACAGCACCCTAAGGGGGAGGAGGAGGAAAGCAGACCAACAGGCCACTCAAACTTCAAATGACCCACAAGAACAATCCATGCCAGTAGCAGTTGCCCCTCTACAGAAGAAGAAATTGAGCACCAGAACAGTTCACTTAGTGAGAGATGAAGAGGAATTAGGAACAACATGTCTGGGTTTAAGACAAATGCTGGAACAGAGAATCCAACAAATGAGCCCTCTCTTCTTTATTTAAAACCTCTCCTCTTTGCACCAATAAAGAGAAACCAAATGTGAGCAGATATAAGTGAAAAACCCCACAGTTTACTGAAAAGAAAATATAACAACTGTAAAAATACAAACAAAACAGTTTAAGCCAATAAGGGACAGAAATCATCTTTAATATCTTCTGCATTGGTACACAGACAACATGGTGGCAACACGTGCTCTCCCCTCTCTCCTCCTGAGAGAACAAAATAAAAGTACTGTGGCAGACAACTTTCTGCAGTTTAACACCCTCTCCAGCTAGACAAAAACCACGGCAAGGTTGGGATAAAGCAAAGCCTTGGAAAAACCGTTTGTCCACAAAAAGTTATGGTATTAAACTGCTCAGTTCACATCACCTGGTCAGGCTCAGGTTCTGTTCAGCTCAAACTCACAGGTTGTTGCTGGAGAAAGTGGTTTCTTGCCACTCAGCTGCACTCTGAGTTGGCTCCACTCGACTGGGACTCTGCACAGCTCATCTGGGCTCAGCTCCATTGGGGTTTGGGCTCCATGTCGCATGGCTGGGCTCGGCTCCATGGTGGTTCTGATGCAGAGGCTGCAGTAGGGCTGTTTCCAAGTGCAGTTAGCAGATAAACAGCTGCAGTGGCTGCAGAGTTGGTTTAACTTTCATTTTCCCCCTGATTGTGGAGGAGGTGGCCCTGGGTGGCTCCCCTTTTCAGAAGTCCCTGGTGTGGGTGCAGGGGAGGGTGCTGGTGTAGCAGTGGCTCCTGAGCAAGACTCACTCACTTTTTAATAGTCCCATATGGCCAGTGCATAAGTCCAGTGGAGAGTGGAAACTGACAGTAGACTATCGTGGCCTGAAGGAAGTCACACCACCACTGAGTGCTGCCTTGGTGGAACTTCAGTAGGAACTGGAGTCCAAGGCAGCAAAGTGGTGCCACCATCAACATTGCCGATGCATTTTTCTCCATTCCTTTAACAGTAGAGTGCAGGCCAGAGTTTCCCTTCACCTGGAGGGACATCAAGTACCTCTGCAAACACAGCCCCATTATTTCCCATGGATTGATCCAGACTGCACTGGAAAAGGATGAGGCTCCAGAACACTTGCAATACATTGATGACATCATCATGTGGGGCAACACAGCAGAGGAAGTTTTTGAGAAGGGGGAGAAGATAATACAAATGCTCCTGAAGCCTGGTTTTGCTGTAAAGTAAGGTTGAGGGGCCTGCCCAGAAAATTCAGTTTTTAGGAGTAAAATGGCAAGATGGATGTTACCAGATTCCAATTGATGTGGTCAACAAAACAGCATCTGCATCCCCACTAATCAACAAGAAAGATGCTTGAACTTTCCCAGGTTCTGTGGGTTTTTGGAGGATGCAGATTACAGTCAGATTATAAACTCTATCATGTCACATTAAAGAAAAATTATTTCAAATGGGGTCCTGAATAACAACAAGCTTTTGAACAAATCGAACAGGAGATTGTTCTTCCAGTAGCCTTTGGGCCAGTCAGGACGGACAAGATGTAAAAAATGTGCTCTGCACTGCAGCTGGGGTCCTCCATATGGAGTCCTATAAGCTATTGAGGGACAAGGTGGATCAAGTCAGGTTGCAGAGCTGAAAGCCATCCAGCTGGCTTTAGATAGGGTTGAATGAGAGAAATGGCCAGTACTCTACCTCTACACTGACTCATGGATGGTAGAAAATGCTCTAGGAGGGTGGCTGGACTGATGGAAAAAGACCAGTTGGCAGCACAGAGGGAAACCCATGTGGGCTGCTGACGTGTGGCAAGACATCACTGCCTGGGTAAAAAGAAGTATGTCATGCAAAAAAGTAGCCTGTAAAAGTACGTCATGTAGATGCCCACATGCCGAAGAGTCAGGATACTGAAGAACATCACAACAATGGACAGGTGGATTGGGCTGCCAAAACTAAAATGTCTCAGGTGGATCTGGACTGGCAATTTAAAGGTGAATTATTTCTGCCTCAGTGGGCCCAGGACACCTCAGGTCATCAGGGAAGAGATGCAAGAGACAGTTGGGCTCATGATCAAGGGGAGGACACTATCTCTAAAGTTATTCACAACTGTGAAATATGCACTGCAATCAAGCAGGCCAAGCAGGTAAAGCCTCTGTGAAATGGTGGATGATGATTGAAATATAAATATGGGGAGGCCTGGCAGACTGATTACATCACACTCCTGCAAACCCTCCAAGGCAAGTGCTACCTGCTGGCAATGGTGGAAACAACCACTGGATGGGTGGAGATGTACCCTGTGCGTCACATCACTGCCCAGAACACCTTCTTGGGCCTTGGGAAGCAAGTCTTGTGGTGACATGACACCTCAGGAAAAATCGAGTTGGACAACAGGACTCATTTCAAAAGCAGACTCATAAACATCTGGGACAGAGGGCACAGGATTGAGTGGGTATATCATATTACCTACCATGCCCCAGCCTCTGGGAAAATTGAATTCTACAATGAACTGTTAAAAACACCACTGAAAGCAAAGGGTGGTGGAATGTTCAAACATTGTCATCTACATTTAGCAAAGGCCACCTGGTTAGGTAACACTGGAGGCTCTGCCAGTCAAGCTGGCCCTGCCCAGTCAAAATCTCCACATACTGTGGAAGAGGATAAAGTCCCCATGATGTGTATGAGGAATATGTCAGGGAAGACAGTTTGAATTAGTCCTGCCTCAAGACAAGGAAACCCATCTGTGGCATTGTTTTTGCTCAAGGACCAGGGTACACTTGGTAGGTAATGCAGAGGGACTGGGAAACATGATGTTCTCCTCAAGGGAATTTGTTTTTTGCTGGGTGAGAACAGCCTGTAATGTTGAATTCTGTACTATTGGTTGCTGAATGACACTGCCACTGTATGCCATAACTACCATGGACAATGAGGATGGACTGCTCCAGATACACCAGTCGTGAGCTCCTGATGCAGCTTGCAACCAGCCAACAGCACACCAGCCCTCCTACCCTGAAAGACATCTGGGATGAATAGAACCCACACTCATGGACTGAATGAATGCAACAGACATCTTGGAGGGACAGCCCTTGACTATGGAAATGATACCTGTGCTTTTGTGTATATATATACATGTATATGTGTGTGTGTGTATAGATATATACTTACATACACACATATATATATATGTATATAGTTGGAAGGTGTAGGATCTCAGCATAATGTTGATGGTATAGAAGAAGTTCCATCCTAGACAGGGTTAATTTTTGCAGTAGCCACAAGGAGGCATGGTTAGGACATCTCGCATCATTGCTTGGGGCAGGGGAAAGGGACTTTCTTCCAGGGTCGAAGGGTTCCTTTCGATTGAGAAAACATGGCGGAGGGTATTGTCTATTGTCGAGGGAGTTTCCATGTGAATCATTTTTCTTGTTCCCTCTGTCCTTAATATTGTTGCTGCTACAGTTCATTTTTTCTTGTCTCCTTGCTGTTTCCAATAAACTGTTCTTATCTTAGCCCGTAATCTTTGCCTTTTGTACCTCCAATTCTGGTCTCCATTGCACTGGAGTGAGGAGGAAGAGGGGGGAAGAGTGGGGAAGTGAGAGATTGGCACTTGGAGAGTCTTGGAGGGGGCATTGAATGGGAGAATACCTTTCCTAAACTACAACACACTACAACCTGAACATTAGTTTAATAAGGGTAGTGAAGTCTCTATATATACAACTATGCTAGAGCCTTTGATTATTTTAGCCATCATTTAATGATATAATTTCCCTCACTGCTTTTTTGTGTGGAGTTTGCAAAGGCCCATCAGGGAACAAATTCTGTGAACGCTCCTGAAATGAGAAGGAGTGTTACAACAGAGAAGATCTGTTATCATCGGTCCACATGGTATCCATATGAAGTTCAATCTCTGGTAGTTCAAGAGCCACTATAAATAGCATGTACCCTATACAGGGAGGGT